TTGTTTTAATACAGTAATTGACTGATTCAATGTATTTGATAGTTACAATTATTACAAATTCAGGTTTTCGTCACCTCCGTCAGATGTGTCAGCTCACCGTCAGATGTCACTTCCGTCAGTTGAATATTTTGATAATATTTCATTATGATATTTTATATTTGTTGTGGAATTGTTGGTCACATGTGAAAGTGTAATCTGTCTGCTAACACGAGAATGTGTTTTGAAATATTAAAAACATCTTGAATGCTGTTAAAGATACAATTTATATTACACAGTCCAAGGTAAAAAAGCACATTTTGTTCAAAAAGAGAAAAGTTGGGAGGTTGTATCAAAGCATAGCTTAGTACATATAAGAAACATAAATGTAGTTTCATTTGTCTGAGTACAAGGTTTTATTTTTTCAATTTTGCACCCTGTTTTGTCCCACTTCTCAAGAATGACTGTTTTGTCAAAAATATACCCAAACAAGTTAGGTTAAGATGATTTTAGATTTGACCAAAACATGTTTGACAAATAATAAATGCATTTAATAGGTTACAGTTATTGCAAGTTGTGTTTGCAACAGATTTCTGTAGGTAGGCCTACCTTTTAAATAATTGATCAGGGTAGGCAAAATCGATAAAAAAAATACTTTTCTTCTGTGGAACATTATGAAAGGGATTTTATTTAGTTAGTTTCTTCAAGGTTTTTTTTTTCTTCAACATTTTTTCTTTTGTGTTCCACAGAACAAACGGGTGAGTAAATGAAGACAGGGTTTTCATTTGTGTGAACAATTCCTTTAACCAATGAAACACAGTCATAACTTAAGTTATTCAGTTTCTGTAACCTGATTCCTAAGTGTTTTGATTCATAAAAACTGACTCAGACAGTGTCAGAGTTTGCACTGGAGATTCAGTAGATTTGGTCAACAGTCAGAAGTCCGAGTTCCTGAAAAATAGCTTTATTCCAAACCTTAGTCAACTCGTCACAGAGGCAAAAGAAGTTTGCTACAGAGTTATATCCTTCTTGAAGATTTATTTATTAATTTGTTTTTTGTCCTCCAGTGGAATGATCAGGGGTGTGTGTTTAAATAAAACATTTAGTCATGAAAATAGTTCTGGTTTGCTTCATTTTTGACAACGCATAACAGGAGAGATTTACTACGCTGTTACAATCTTGAAGTCAACTGCTATTCATTGTTAAATCGATGAACATGAAGTCTTGTTTACTGTAGCTTACATTTTCACACCCTCTCTGTTTAAATATGACGTTGACTTTGCACCTCTGCATAATATGACTCCTAGGCTATATGTTTGCCCTGAATGCTGCCCATATTCAGAATTTAAGTAATTAAACATTGATATGATAAGGCAATCATAGGCCTATTTGAGTGCATTTATGTGGTCTTGTGTGACTTTGGCTGCTAATAGAAAAGGTTTGATTTAGTTTACACTCACACGTCTGGTCACATGTCTTTATTCAACATTCTCAGTCACATGCATTTAAGCCTCTTTACTGATTCCACACACGGCTCCACACACTGCACATACAGTCATTCATTATCTCTGTAGAGCAGATGCCCTCTTTCACAGTGAAAGCATACAATGGCTTATAAGAACATAAAGAGCAAAACAACACACTGCTTTGTACAGGATTGCATGGTTTTTAAAGATCAACATTCATACAACAACTAAGTATATCATATTTATGAGCACTGCAATTTACATTATATCAATATGCATCATAGAAATAAGGTAAAAAGATATGCTAAGCATATACAACACATTTCATTCTTTCAGTTTTTCTCTCTTTTTTCCCTTTCAGTTATGGCTGCTGCTTCTAATTACACACTGCATCTGTGGCCTTGTGTGAATGGGACAGCTATTTCAGGCCACGGTCACATGTGTTTTAGTTTATGCGTTATGATTCTAGTTTGGCCTGGTGTTTAGAAAGTCATTACATTTTAATATGAGCCAGTAATGTGTTTTGAGAAGCACCAGGAGGAAGATTTATTCATACATTCTTGCCTATGCACACCAGAGTGATAGGCTACCGATATATAAGGCCTCTATGACTATTTGAATTTTTTTCAGTATTGAAAACTTAATCTATCTATCTATCTATCTATCTATCTATCTATCTATCTATCTATCTATCTAATTCTATAAATATAATTACATTAAACAACATGTCAATAGTTTAGTTTAATAGCACTAATAACACTTAATAATACTTTTATTATGATATATTGTTTAGCTTACTGTTTGTAGGCTATACTACTTTTTAAATAGTTTGTACTGTTTGTACGGTTCCTTTTTTTATTCAGCAAGGATGCATTAAATGTGATATTCATTTGGCAGATTTACTCTCCGTTTATCAAAGAATCCTGACAAGAAAAGTATTACAATTTCTGTATTAAGAAAATTTGATACAAAACAATAAGAAATGTTGTGAGTAATGACTTTGCATCCCAGGAAAGTATATAACAGTAATTTAAATACTAATAATATCTCTCAATAAATGCAGCAAATTATATATATATATATATACCCAAATCCACTATAATTTTATAAATAATACTGTTTTTGTGTCACAGAATGTAGTTTTTTTTAGGTGAAAACGTAGTTGTTTAGACTTCAGATATGCAGTTTGTTAACAAAGATGACGTCTATTTGAAAATTAGCTTTGACACTTTCGGAGATGTGAGCTCCAGGGCGTCAGCGGCCATTCAGCGCTCATGAACCCACCGAGAACAGCCTCACCTCGGCCAGATCTTCTGGAATTTGCCACTGGCTCGGAAGTCTCAATAGTCTTTAAACATGAGCATTTTTGTCATTGTTTTGTCATGGAACTGTCATTGTATGGGAAATACCTACAGTATGTGAAGATTTTTCAAAATATTGAATTTTTTGATCTACTTTAGAAAACCATATGGATTTGGAACAAAATGAGAGTGTGTAAACAATGACAGAATGTTCATTTCTAGGTGAATGATTTCTTTAATACTTACAGAATTATGCCATCTGTCTCTGTTTAGGGTTTAAGGGTTTTTATTTTTATTTTTTTAAAGAAGGTGTAGTACAGTTAAAAGTTTATGATATCATTTATGGTTATGCATAACATAGAACAGAGTTAATCTGGCTTCTCTAATAATTGCCTGTTTTTGAAAATATATGAATGATTTCATAAACTGATCCATATATATATATAGCAAACCTGTCACGCGTCAGTTATATGTAAAATATGCCTGCGTAAACGGTGTGTAAATGTCATGACACCGGGCGGAACTAAAAACAGACGCTGTAAGACACGTCAGCTGAAGCATTCGGACACATTTTACTGACGCACCGCTCCGGCTTCCTTCTCATTTCAGCAGTCAGGTGTACTTACTGCGCTTCTCTGCGTCTTGTAAACACTAGGTATATGATCCATTAACGTGGATGTTTTGGTGTCAGTAAAGTGCAGCTCATCTGAAGTCAAGAAACAGTCTGTTTTTTCCCGTCATTTATATAACGTGAAGTTAACATTTTGTCCATTGATGTCTTGACTTGTCATGTGGTATGTCATCATAGTGCAAGGTAACCATGAATCAGTATATTTTCTGCTTCTATTCCATCTCATACTTGTGTGATTCTTTCTTTCTGAGTATGTTCGCTAATCAAAGTGTGTTGCATGATAATGTCTCTGATGTGATGTCGTTTGTTTACTCAGCTTTGCGTGCCATAAGAATCAGAACTAGCTTTTTTTATTTGTGTTTTTTTAAGTGGTTTCGTAGTTTCGTGTCAGAGAGCTTCTCTGGAGAGGAATACACATTTCCCCCAGTTTTCGTGGTTTTTAAGTCAGTTATTTCTTTCTTTTGCTGTAGTGTGCCAGTAGTTATCAGTTTACATTTCCAAACGTTTATTTAGCTTTTAATTGTAAATGGAATATGAATAATCAGAAAAAAACGGAGACAGACTAAATCCAGAAGAACTGTCAATGTCTCCGAGATGACTGAAGAAGCCTACCTGCAAAGCTACAGTACTGTTAAAAGGCACTTGTGAAACAACGCTGTAAAGTGAAGATTCTTTAAAAAATAATGTCATAGATTTGATCTATCAGTTAACTTCTATTAACTATTAACACCCTTTGCATGTTAAACCGCTTTTGTCCTTGGTACACTTGTGCATAGTTCTGCAGATAGGTTTCCTCAAGCATCCTGGAGACATTGCCTCCATGCCACGCCGAATTGAGGCAGTAATTAAAGCAAAAGGAGCCCCTACCAAGTATTGAGTACATGTGCAGTAAATGAACATACTTTTCCAGAAGGCCAAC